CTTTTTAAAGACAAAAAATCGGCAATGATGGGGCAATCGTGACTATCGCGCTCGAGACTTCCTATGATTTTAGTGAAATTAGTTATAACAGAATTAGACAGAACTCAAAACCTTCAAAACTCGATTGTTTATTCTATCTCTTGTATTGAAGAAAAGTGAATTTCAATATCATGTGTTTAGACGTGTTGAATATCGTTGTCGTGATATATTGTAACGTAAGAACATTTAAAAATGAGTAAGAAACTACAAGGGTCCTAAACTAACAGTATTAATTAGTTTACTAGTTCCTAATTTATCCTTTTATATTTTTAGGAACATCGAGTGACCAATAAAAATAGGGTTTCATTTGTAGTAATTTGTTTTATTTGAAGATTCTAGTATGTTAATTAGAGTAGTATCAAAGGAGAATAATAATATGATTGTGCTATATGTATATCATAATTTACATATTTGTTTATCAATAGATGATGATGTGAATTTTGATTATGTCAACATTTAATCAACCAAAAAAATAAAAATAAAAAATCCCCTCATTATCCTTTTGGGAATATGTTAATTGTATATAAAGCGGTATCTATAACAGAATTTACTAGGAGTGGATATTTTTTATCGGAACCGGATCGAAACCGTTTAGAACAAGCTAGTTCGATTCCGGATCTTCTAAACAACCATTTAATTTTGGGACAAATTATTAAGATCAACTGATTTCGGTTCTAGCAAGGGAACTGTCTGGAACCGGACGACTTTCATAGAATTTTTTATTTTTTTTGGTAAAATATATGACTCAATCTCCAATTCCTTTATAAAAAATAATGGGGTTCCTTCTTTATTTTAGACTATAGCACTTTCCTTCTCTTTGATTCTCTCTTCTTATAATTTTTTGATTAATTAATTCTCAAGCCAAATTAGAATATTTATTTTCACTATGATTATATAGTTGTTGATCCGATTGAAACTTTTCATCTAATTTTCTACAAATTATAACCAACAGAACAAGAAGTTGCAATAAATTTTTAAAGAGTGTTCAATTCAATGTTGGATTTTGATTTTCATGGCACTTTGTTCAGTTATTGGAGTATTATGCAATTTATATAAGTTGATGATTGCTTGATGATAGTAACTTTTGAATATTGTTTTTAAATTTGTAAACTTAATTTTCTTTTAATTTTTCAATAGTATGTTTAGTTCTTATATATTTTGTTAAAAGTATCACGATGATAGCATCTTTAAATTTTTTATTAGTGAATATTTTATTTTGACATTTTCAATGTAAAAAATCGGACCGGACTGAACCAATTCCATAGCTAAGTATATAACCATTGGTTCAATTTCTAAAATTCCCATTGGTATTCAATTCGGTTAAGTTTCCTTTGAAATCGGATCGCGCCCACTCCTATAATTTAGCCCTCGGATGGAGGAGGACCCACATTAGATAAATTATATTTTATTCAAATTGAGTCCTCCTCAATTGAAATCCACCCTTATGCACCTGTGGCACCACTCATTTTTTTTATATATTATTAATATGTAAAATATCATGTAAATAGTGATTTACTACCATTTTCATAATAATAATATCTAACACCAGTTGTATTTCAATATCAGTCTAGGTCTCGCAATGTGATATACTTAATAAAATGTAAATTATGTGACTATCTATTTGTATATCTCATTTAATGGCTAATATAATATTATTCATTGTTTGAGTCCCAAATTTCAACAATGCATTTATCTTCTAACTCGTTTTCAACAATATATTCTTACAATAAAATAATATTATACACAAAAATAATTTTGTCTACTTTTACATCATACATTCTGTAACATCCCAAAACTTTAGTAAGTTTATAATGCATATTCGTACCTTATATTGCGATGTATATTTCATGTAACATAGTAAAAGAAAATTATTAATAATATTATAAGCTTATAAAAAGAATTGAATTAAAATTTTGGTTAAAAACCATGTGAAAAAAATTAAGGAAAATGAAGTTGCTACTCTCAATAAATGACCTTACCACTCTAATATGAAAATGACAAATGGTATGAGGTGGCTACTCTTAATAAATGACATTGTCACTCTAAATATGAAAATGACAAATGGTATAAGGTGACTATTCTACATATATCACTTTGTCATTCTAAATACTACAATGACAAATGACATAATAGGGTAAAAGGTGGCAAAATAATGATTAAGGAAAAATAAATTAATTATTAATTTAATTCTAAATTAATACTATAAATAAGGGAGAAGGAGAGAAATGGAAATGCATGCCGAAATAAAAAAAATAAAAATCAAAGTCAAGTAATTTTATAAAGATAGCACTTTAATTGTCTTGTAACTTGAAGTGAGCAGTTTATACCTACTTTTATTTCAAACATATTTATTGCAATTATGTTTATTGGATTACTTCTTGCTTTTCAAATCAATTATAGATTCAAGATTTTACCCATTGATATTGACATTGCATTGAATATTGGCATTGCATTGAATAATGATTGATATTATTGATTTTAGACTAAAGTGGTGTAATCAACTAATGAGCTCATATATTGTTATTTTCATATTGCGCGCACGCATAGGATTGGACATCTATAATTGGGGTTCATTGTTTTCCTTTTTTATTCAAGTTAAAGAAAGATTATGGTATATATTACTTGCTGAATAAATATATTCACATTATTTTATTTTCTTGTAGATGATCACCACCAAATACATTGACTTTATCTCAGGTGAATGAATGACTTCAGAAGATGGCCGATATTGTGTGTATGTCTAGGAAGTCCACACATGGATGACGTATCCAGAATTTCCATGTTTCCATTACTTTGTGGGATCCTATTACTATGTTGACTACTTCGAGGCCACTGCTAGACGTATTTATTTTCAAATGATTTTCCTAGAGAAATAATGTGTCCCGGTGATCTTTGATATGTAGTATGAATATTAGTACAAATCGGTTGGTTATGATAGTAAGATATGGTGCATAGTACGACTTTTGCGTAGTGCAAATTTTGTGTAGTGAAAAATTTTGTAATATAACTTTTATATATCTACTAGTCTTTAATATACATTTTGCAATGTAACCAAGTATATAAAAAAAATTTCAACTATCTTATATTTATTGTTGCTTGTCTATTCCATACTCTACAAATAGTCAAAAAATTTCTCTCTTCACAAAGTATATAAAATTTTGAAATCTTTATATATAAAGTAAAATGACTAAATTGGGATTATGAGACATTCTCAAAAAATCCATTATTCTAAAATCCATTTTTAGCAAATAATGAGGCTAACCTTAAATTGGCGTTCCTATAATAGAGCTGGAATGATTCTTTCACGCGACCAAACTGTATAATCACTTTCCATTTTATTGCCTCGTATCAACTTGATCTAAAACTTTAAAAAGTAACAGGTTTGCACCTGTTTCGCGCGGGTTAGTCGCTAACAATTAAAAAGGATCAGACGATTGTGTAAGGGACAAACCTCTTGAGACAAAGTCCCAAAAAGGGGTGTTCTTTTATTGGCGATGACTTTACAATTGGAAACGAAAAACAAAGTGCCTCCAAGGGACGCAAGCACATGAGTTACTGAAAGAAAAATGTATAAGTCTAAAGTTAAGGAAATGAAAATTACATGTTCTCTGTTCGAGAGTTTTGGATTCGGTCCTTTGCTTCTATGTGCTTTCTCCCTTTTATACTTCATGGACGATCTCTTTGTGATCAACCGCCCTAAAAACTACTTGATCGTCCTATAACTGCCCACTTTCTTCGTAATGGCCAACTTGTCATGAAAACTGCATTTTTTAACTGCTGCCATTACTCTTCATCGTTCAACCGCTTTCGATTGAATTCCTTGAATCGTAGAACATGATGGGGCTGCTTTAATAACTGCACTTCTTGATAACCACGACGCTTTATGCTTGTTAAGACCTTGGGCGACTTGAAGGTTTGGGCGAGAATAGAGTAACAGCTCTGGGCGACTGTATGACACTCCATTCCCTCAGATTCTGAGCGACTTGCAAACTTGGGCGATGGCGTTACAGCGTTCTTGGGCCTCCCTATTTGGGCCTTCATCTTGATTTTTTTAATTGAGTTTTGTTCTTTGGGCTATCTGATTTGGGGATCCTTCAATTGGGCTTCACTCTTTGGGCTGTTCGATTTGGGCTGAATTTTTATGTGTTAACAGCACCCAACATATTTGTTTGGTACCGATTAAATTCTAAATTATAATATAAATCAAAGTCAACAATTCAATTCAACCACATGTTTTATGGATTCCACAACTTTTCGACTACACATTTTATCAACTTCTATCAAAATTTACATAAAAAGTTGATCTCAACACAATCAAACTTCTAAATCTTAATCAAATTATTATATGATCCTTGTGTTTACTTTAAATTTCTAGGTACCAACTTGCTTTGCATAATAAAAATATATTTCAAATTAATTTATATGATTTAGCCCCGAATCCCAAAAATTTATTTTACTCTCTCTTCACTCTGATCACATAATTTTTCATAAAATAATATTAAACGTAAATTCAAAATTTGTACATTTTTTTTCATTACACATTCTCCAAAAAAATACTATATCAAAAATTAAAATTATCACACAATGGTGGCGAAACAGGAGCTTATATCACTAGAAATTTATTGTTAATTTTTCAGTTGGCGAGCGAAAAACAATGTTAAGCCCTTGTTTGGCCCCCATTACGTGGAAAAAGTAATGGGTGGAATAATATTTTTTTGAAAAATGAGTGGTTGAAAATGAAGGGAAAATTTTCAATTTACGTATAATATTATTTAATGAAAAATTGTGCAGTTAAAAATAAAAGAAAGAAAAATGAAATGTAATGTAATGAAAATTAACGTGGGTTCAAACAGGTGCTAAACCAAGAGTCAAAGCTTTACTCCCCGTTTCCTCTCAGGCCACGAATTTTCCTTCCTTCGCAAATAAAGGAAAAATTATTTTCCGTTCCCCACACGTGTCACTCTCTACTAAACGTACACGCTTCTCTCTCTCGCTCTCTCTAAATTCCCCTTTTCCTTCGCTCTTTTGAACTCGATCGACAGAAGAATCCATTTCCATCCTATTTTTCCATTTTCCTCTTCAAATAAGATTTTTTAGCGCACAAATTCCACTCCCACGAGGATTAAATCCATCTCTGTCGATTGTGTTCTCCACGGAGCAAAAATTTATTTTTTTCTTTTATCCTTTAAATTTCCTTTTCCCCCTCTAAATTCGTGATTCTGTGAGAGTTCAGATTTGCCATATAATTTTTGTTTTATAAATAATTGCACTGGAAGTTTGTTGATTTTTTTGCATACGAAGTTTCTTTGATTTGCAGCTGAAGATATTTTAGGGTTCTGTACAAGAAAAACTCTGTGAAATTTTTGGTGCTTTGTTTTAGTTTGTCATTAAAAATCGAGGGTTTCTTGTCTGAATGGTCTAGATATTTAATCCACGAGAAAGGTTTAAAAAAATAATAATAATAATTATAATAATAATCGGGGGTTTTGCTGTTGAACGTACTACTCTTTTTCATTCTTTTATTTAGGTTTATCTGGAAAAGAGATAGAAGATATAAAATCTGAGATGGCATTGAACTATTCACATCGGTCAATATTTCCTTCACATATTGGTGAGGATAGTATGGTGTCGCCCATGAGGATTGTGAATGGGGACGGTTTTGCGAGGACTAGGCATGGGAGCCGAGGGGAAACCGAGGAGCGAAATTACGGGAGGGACAGAGTTGACCGGTGCAGTTCACCTGAGTCAGCTACAAATGATCTAGCCAACCTCTTGCCTTCCGATCCATTTGGGATGGATATAGAAACTACTTTCACAGCCATCACAGGATGGCTCGAGGATTTAGATGTCAATTACAGAGGATATGTAAGGAAAAATGATTATGCATCCAGTCAAGATGACTGTGATTGTTTTGCGCAGTGGAATTTGATTTGGAAAAGTGCCTCGAAATTCCAATCTCTATCTAGGAACGTTCAGTTTGACAAACTGAATATGGATATTCCATCTATTCCGAACAGTCTTCAGGGAGATAAGTGTATCCAGTCATCTCCAGACAATGCTCATTTAGATGAGAAACTGAAAATGGGTAATGTGATAAATCGGTGTAGTGAGGAGCGAGAGTCGACCAGATATAATTTCGGATTTGAACCTTCCAGTAATACGGGGGGCATTGTGGGCTTTGGCAGTGAGAGTACTAGCGGCAGCTCTGGGCAGCAATTTAGAGAGGAAGCTGAGGTTGCTGAAAGTTTTGCCAAGGAGGAAGTACCCCATGAAGCTTTAGGCTTCGCTCTTAGTTATCTGGGAGTCAAGGACCTTCTGTCTGTGGAAAGGGTTTGCAGGTCTTTGTGTTCAGCAGTCCAAGGCGATCCCTTGTTGTGGAGGACTATCAACATTGAGCAGCCGCTGAACGAGAGGATCACAGATGATGTGCTGCTGCAATTGGCTACCAGAGCTCAAGGTAATCTCCAATCCCTGAGCTTGGTAGAGTGTCCAAGGATCACAGATGATGGTTTGAGGCGTGTGCTTGAAACTAATCCACGGTTGACTAAGGTAAGTGGCTCCCCCATTCTCTACAGTGGTTTTCTATTGCAAGTATAATTTATATGCGGTCAAAATATTGATGTTGTTATATAATTCTAATAGAAGAATGACACAGAATGCATTGTTCATCACACTTCCCAGTTTCTGGTATTTAAATCTATTGACATGTTTAAAATGTGTTTCTAATCGCACCAATGCCTACGATTTATGAGAATTTATGATTTCTAGCCATTTTGTGGGTTTGTATGTCTGTTGTGAATTGTGGCCATCTACTTGGATGTTGAAGAGTAGGATAGCAAATAGAATTAAAGAAATAGATTTCTTTTATGCATGTTGAAAACAAAACTTAAACAAATAAATATGTCTGACTGCCTAAGCTTCTAGATGACCTTAATTGGGTTCAGATGACATGGATAACTTAGGAATTGAGTTCAAGAATCACCGTCACTCGCATATGAGAAATTGTCACTTTGTCACGGGTTGAATCCAGCCTATATGTGTAGGGGTGTGATGAAGACAACATATAGATAAATGTATACTCTTTTTAACATTTTAAGCATTTAGATGTTGCAGATAACAACACTTTAAGCATTTGTCTCGTTTAGTGCCTTCAGTAGTGCTCTTCAGCACTTATGTGTAAAGTATGTCATTTCAAAAGTGTGATGGAATAAAAATATGATTTCAAAATTGATAGATTTAGAAGCACAATGTTTATCTATTTAAACTGTCTTCTAAGCTAGATTTGCCGGAAGTGATGCAGAAAGAGGTGTTTTTATGGTTAGTGTGTTAACTCCAGTGTTTTAAGCTCTCAAGAGTATAGAAATAGGTAAACCTGGGAATAGTTTCAAATACCTATTACTTAATTATAAGTGTTCCAATGGAACTAAAATCAACCTAACTTCTTAATTTACGATAAGATATAACCCAAATTTATAGTACTTTGTTGTTCCGTTGCCTAATTTCATGTTCCAATGAAGCTACGGTCAACCTGCCTGCTTAATATTTGATAAGATGTAAGCCAAATCTATAGAGTTTGTTGTTCTCATTTGATAATATAATAGATTAAATCCAACCTACAGCTATGATATTTCCACGGATGGAATATTTTACTATGAATGGAGTTGGAATTCTGGAAGTTCTTGTCACCGAACTATTCCTTTCATGTTTTCTTGAAGCCCTCCATCTATAGTGGATACATTAAGTCTATGTAGCACGGACACTTCAATTAGGAAAGTGTGTCCGTGTACAACACTCCTCGGAAGCTCTACCGTGATTATTTTTCTTTTTTATTGATACCTAAAAGTTATTAATAAATAACAAATAGGTATTCATATTTGAAAGTTTCCAACATGAAATATTAATAACAAGTATAAAGCTAAATTTATACAATATAAATAAAGAGTTTTAAAGAATTTAATCAATGTGTTGATGACGGTCGTGTCGGTACTTTTTTGAAAATATCGCGTCGACATATCCAACACGTAACGTAACAGACACACATATCCGTGTCAGTGCATCATAGCATTAAGTTGTAGCAGCCCCGATTGCGCTTTTTGTTGCGCTCTTCTGCTCCTCTTGTGAAAATTCTGTCTGCAAGATATTAATTTTCTACGTTGTTAGTACATTGCAGGAGTCTCTAAATCTTATTATTTTTCTGCAGCTGTGTGTTCCTGGATGTACAAGGCTTACTATTGAAGGTATCCTAAATAATCTCAAGACTTTCAACTCAGATAAAGGTGTCCAAGGTATAAAGCACCTGAGAATTGGAGGGCTATATGGGGTGACACGTGAACATTTTGAAGAGTTGAAGCTGTTACTGGGGGCTGATAACGACAAGCTCCAAAAGCCTCACAAACCACACTTCTATCATCGGGATAATTTTTATCTTCTGTCAAATGATGATCGTGCAATTGATATTGAAATGTGCCCGAGATGTGAAAAACTGAGGCTGCTTTATGACTGTACAGCCAAGAGCTGTCAGGTTGAAGATAATGCGGCTCAAGTCTGCAGGGCATGCACACTTTGTATATCGAGGTGTGTGCAGTGTGGCCGGTGCGTTAACAATACTGAATATGAAGAAAATTTCTGTTTGGAATTTATCTGCTCGGACTGTTTTAAACAGCCGGATATGTACTGAGATAAACTGGGCAAAAATGTTGATTCCTCCAAGTATGGCACTGCATAGGTGCCAAGTTCTAATTCCAGTCTTCATGGGCAGGGGATGTTGCTTATACTTTTAGGTTGGAATTCTGCCCGTCAGAGAAGAAAGTCTGGAAGGCCATTGGATCTTGCATCCAAGAGCAAGGAGGCTAAAAAAAAAAAAGGAAAAAATCGTAAAGAAGAAAACATGGAAAAGAAAAACAGAAAGTGTGCTTTCGTGAAATTATTAGATATTAGGTGTCAGTGTCAAATCTTGTACTCTTCACTCGTATTTCGTTCTCTTCAAATGGTATTTTATCATTGATAGTAGGCTGTCATTTGTGCTTCTGAGATCCGTGGATCTTAAACATTATGTTATTATCAGTGTGAAGGTTGTTTCTCGCCCTTCAAAGTTCAGGCCATCAATTTATTTGGTGACATTGGTTGAAAGATACGAGTCTTGAGTCCGAATGTTTATTCTGTGCTTATGATGGATGACGGGCAGGTTCTTATTTGTGGATATGATAGCGTTTTGATGATCGGAAGCTTTGTTGAAATTGGAAACTTTTTGCTGCATCTTTCCTGCTTCTAGATTATGGGATGTCTAATCATCGTTTCAACTGGAGAATGCTGCTCTATGTGCTGCGTTCTATGTTTCGTTATATTCTGATTTGATTGTGAAGTGACATTTATATATTATATACGGATACAGATGTTTGTCATTTTCTTGCTGAATGAGGCACGTAAACTCGTTTTGCTGCCTTCAGGTGGCGGTTCAGTTTCGATGGTATTGTTGAAGATAAAAACCATATTTTTATAGATTTTGATTTGATAAAAATCGATAAAATATGTGATTGTAAGGTTGATAAAACTATAGTTTTCATGATATTTGTGGTTGAAAATGATTTTGAAGAAGAACATGAGACTGCATCCTGACGGGGATTGGAATACTTCAAAATTTTAATGGTCATCTTATACAATATCATCACGTAATCTATAATGCTGCTCAGTACCTAACAAAATGAGATGCATGCAGCCAGACACCGATTTTCATGAGAAAAGATCAGAAACGATATTTTCGCATGATTTCCTTTATAATTGAACTTCCAGCAAGAAATTGTCCGGGCAATTACATGTCCATGCACTTCTGTAACTACTCGAAAGCTTAGAATTAAGATTAGCTCGACTAAAACACAGGAGATGTTCGTGCGACAAGTCTGATTAATTACATTTCTAACTTCGACCTAGGATCAACGTATAAAAAATGGAAACATGTAAAAATATTCATCCAATGTATAAATATAAAGAAGCATGACATTTCACAGTATCTGTTCAATCATATCAAGGATACAACTATGAGATATATCCTTTCCTCCCAGCTTAGGTCATACACCCAGATAAAAGAACTTAAATCTGCAGGATCTATAAACTTAGCTAAAGTGTTTGTACAATTCAACATTGGTAATTTGGCATGTTACAAAATAACAAAATTCAACATTGGCGTGTTACAAAATAAGAAAAGCGTGTAATGTTGATATGGAAGCACACAAAATACAAGAAATCTACAATGGCTAAGGCTAATTCGTTCGTTGACCTGTTGACAAAATATGAAACGCCCATAGGCGTTAAAAAATATGGAACGCCCATATATATAAAAATATATAGTCTCACGAATACAGTAAAGCCGTCCCATTTCTGATGAAGAAATTCTCATTATTTTTGAGATTTCTTGCAGAGGTTTTTCAACCATTTCAGGCTCAATATCTTCTTTTACGACTTGCTTTTGTCATCGTTCTTCTTTTTGTTGTTCTCCGATGCAGGTGGTAGAGGTTTCGGGTTCCATTGATCAGCCCACAACAGCCCCTCAGAGCCGTATATGTCCATTTCTTGTTTTCTTTCCTTAGCCCCTTTGAATTGCCCAGACAAGAATTCCTGCCCGAAGAGTCCAAAAAATTTGTTTTAATCAATAGGCACCCTAGCTATATCTGGCTATTTTCTGTAGTTAGCCAATGGATTTGGTTCACCTGTTCCAGCAGTTATTTTGGGACACGAGTATGTTCTTACCAAAAAGTCATGATCCAAATGAACTGAGAGATTGACCTTTACTTGGGGTAATTTTTAGAAAGGCTAGAAAACTGTTCCTATTTTTCACAATGGCCTCTTTTATTAAAAATACTATTTTGTCCTTACTATAGTTATTTGCAAGATGTATTTTATATATTTAAGAATTTATTAATCAGGATCTATATTTATATTTTTCAATCTTTCAAATACCTTTAAATATTCTTTATATTTTAGTAGTGTTTCAAAGATCCTAAGCTGACATTTCTTGGTTATATATCCTCGAATTAATCCTTCTGAAATTTCTTCTTGTATATCTCTATGTTTAGTTATAATATCTTCTACCTTTTTTATTTCTCTACTAGTTCCTACAAAATCAAATCCTATATTATTTTTACAATTATAATCTATATCTCTATATATTTCTTCAATTTTTTCTTTGCCAACGAGAAATATATTTTCAGACTTTTCATCTAATTTAAATAAAAACGAAACATCTTTTTCATCTAAAAATAAAATAAGATTATTATCATCATTAGTAGTGGAAGTGGATGCTTGTGAATTGTTCATCAGAATAATTAAAGCATAAGCATGTAAAAACAAGCAAATAACTTACAGTAATCAAATGAAGTAAACAGACTTTCCCTCTAATATGCTCTTATAGATGCTTTGTATGTACTTAATCAATCTTCTGAATCAAGTAAAGATTAAAATATTTTTTGAAATCATTTGGGTCCACAACTGCTTCCGCAAAAGGCTTTTCAATTAAGGTTGCATTTCTCATTCTAGGGAACTAGTCGTGTTTTCACAGACGCTATTTCACAGTATCCAGAGTCTCTGTTTTCACCTCTATCCAAACTCTTTTCAGAATCAAGTTCCTACTTGGAACGAAATTTTAAAAGATAACTCACACACAAGGTGCTACAGTTTTGTTAGAAAATTGTCTTTTTCCCCTAAACAATTCATCAAAGACGGGTACTTTGGCATGGCTAACATCCATCCAAAATTAATGTTTTAAAAATCTTTTAAAATCTCTATCTGTACTGCCGAGGAGTCATGAGAAACTTAACGAAATCCTTTTATGAAAGTTTTGTTGAACATAACAAACTTTACTTTGATATTCATAAACTGAAATTGTACATGTTTACAAACTATATTTACATACCTTTGGTACTCACCTTATGAAGTTTAGAACTTCATAAGTGATTACCTTATTACACGCTTTCCTATCTTCAAGCTATCTAATATTTTTCTGAATAAAAGTGGTGTATACAGATTACAAAAGATATATCTCTAAGATGTGCTTCCTTCCAGTGTTTAAGAGATAAGTTGTTTCGAGATATCTTCCTTCTTCATCCTTACCTCCTTTTATAGAAGTCTCTGATAATCTTATCTTGACAGGTGTTTTTCACCTTTCTTTGTTGGGTAGTTAAGACATCTTATCTCCACCGAATTCTTCATTATCTTCTTGTTAGGTGGACCTCTCCATTTGAAATTATATGTCTTATCTTTTGAGTTTGTCTGCCACTTGTGATAATTGGTTGAGTAGTCACAATTATAGAGACTTTTCTTGTACTATCTTCTGTCTTTTAGTAGCCACAATTTTTCTTTAATAAATTTCTTTATTAAAGTAGTGATAAAGGGCTATTTTTGTTACCATCACTTTTTTATTTTCAAATCAAAAAATTCTGCAGAAAATTCTTCATCATTAAGGGATGCTTGACTCATATCTTCAACTACACAGTATTCACAATGGTGATCACTATAATTTCAAAGTAATTTGCATAATACTTTAACCATATCTTCTGATCTATGCACTTGGTTGGAAATAATTGTAGGTAATAAATTGTCGAGATAACAAATATCTTCTTCTTTTATAAATAATCCTAAAAATTCAATTTCTGTTCTTGCTATCTCAGCTTTCTTTTGAGAAAGTGTGATACCATATTTTTTCATAATATAACAAAATTTCTCAAGATGTTTAGTATGTTCATCAATACTATTTGAATGAATAAGTAAATCATCTACATATGCAATACAGAAATGAGTAATTTGTTTAATTACCTCATTCATTCTTCTTTGAAATATCTGTGGTGCATTTTTCAACCCAAATGGCATTACATTCCATTCGTACTGTCCTAAAGGATTGGGGGTACTAAATGCAGTTAGTGGTTTACTTTCTTCTGTAAGCATGATTTCCCAAAACCCTGACTTACAATCAAATTTTGAAAATATCTTTTTATTTTGTACTTGTTTAATAAGGGTATCCTTATTTGGCAAGTAGTATCCTTCAAATTTAGTAATTTCATTTAATTTTTTGTAATTTATCACCATTCTGGCTTTTCCTTTTTTTATCTCACTATGTTTTCTAACCATAAAAGTTGGGCTGCTATGTGGGCTTTTACTAGGCCTAATCAATCTGTCTTCTAGCAATTCTTTTATCTGTTCTTTAAATTCTTTTTGATCATCAACACTATATTTCATAGGTTTGACTCTTACAATTGTGTCTGAATTTGTTAATTCTATTTTTGCTTTTACTTTGTCTGTATTCCATTTTTCTAATGGATTTTCAAAATATGTTTCAGAAATTTCTTTTTTCAGTTTTTCAATCCTATTTTCTGTTGTCATTTTTAAGACTGTAACTGGTTTAAATTTTTCTGTACTCCAACATCCACCACGCTGGGTTGAGGAACTCTGATGATTTATATCTGTATATACTATTGTAACAGCTTTATTTATTTTTGGTGTAAATATTTTATGTGTACGAGGTATTGTGAACATATATTTATCAATATATTGTGTAAATGGTGCATATTTTAATAGGAAATTTTGTCCTAATAAAATATCACAACCAATTGTGGTTGACATATTTATTATATCAACAAATACTTCTATAAAGGAAATTAGAAAATATACTTGCTTAGCATATTTGTTGTATATTACCTTATTTCCACCTGCTGTTGTAGCGGTGACTATCTTCTTTGAATTATATATCCAGTATTCAGATGGTAGTACATTTGGTAAGCATAAGCTTATTGTACTTCTTGTATCTAAGTAAGCATGAAATTTAATTCTACAATAGCTTTTTATATTAAGTGTAATTTCAATATATAGACTCAAGGGGTTAGTACTTATTACTCTTTCCATGATAACAATGATTTCATATTTTCATCTATTCTTGAGATGATGATTGGATTATCATCAACTATTATCTTTAAATATCCTTGGCAGATTTTATAAGGACTATATTTTTCAAGAAAGTTCATTCCTAGTAGAATAGGTGAACGATCTACTCCATATAGTTCATCTTTATATATTATTATTTCTTTAAGATATTCTTTCTGGTCCTCTCCTATAAGTATAAGAGGGAACTTAACATATTTTCTTATTTTAAGATTATTTCCTAAATAATCCTTAAATATATATGGTTCTGGTATTTCAAAGTCTATTAAATGACTAACAAATTTAGCATTTACATGACTTTTATTTGCTCCAGTATCTATGAGGACAAAAAGATTCTTCTTAAATCCTTCTTGATTTACACATCTTGTCTTAATGTAATATTGCGAACTTGATGGTTCAGTAATACTTAAATTCTTAAGTCTGCTTATTCTAGAGTCTTGTTTAGAGGGAAATCTTGCGATAAGATTATCTCCTTCTAAGCTGACACTATTTCTTCTTATTAGTTTTCCTTCAGAATTAATTTCTTCAACTTGTTTGTGGAAATCAAGCATTATCTGTTCCGGTATAGTGACTTCATGTTCTTGGTACTTCCTAGGAGGTATATATTGTGCTAATTCCTCAAAATCTTTATGTATAATGATGTTATCAGTTATCTATCTTAGATTGTTATGATGGCTAGTATTAAAAGCAAAAATTGATTTTATGCTTATATTAATAGCCTTACTTCTTCGTAACATTTTTAAGTTTCCAATTCTATAGTATAGATTAAAACTTTGATCAATATTTTCATCATTTAATGATATTGCATAATTTAGTTTTACTGTAAATATTATCTTTTGATAGACTAAGTTTCCTACAACTGTTCCTAATAGAACATCTATGAGATCTTGTAAGATTCTATTGTCCATACAGTATATTTCTATTGGTATGTTAATACCTTCTCTAAAGAATCCTTTTACCATTATTTGGACTTCTCCTAATTCAATACATTTTAATTTGTTTCTTACATTTTCTGGGATTTTGAATAACTTTTGTTTTACCCATTCTTTTGTAATTATAGGAATTCTTGCTTTTCCTATAGTATCTTCTATATTGATAGACATTTCTTTATAATTCATACTTACAATTGTTTTATTTACTCTTGGTAATATTCCTAAAAATCCTTAATGGAATACATCTTTTTCTTGTAGGTCTAATATCTTCTTAGTGATTCATGTATATTTTTTAATATCAAATGTAATTTCTTGATTTATACCTTCTATAGAGTCTTCAACTTCTTCAGTTGTTTCTATTTCTATTTCTGATTGTTGTATATCTTGATTCATATATACAATCTCCTCATAATCTTCTTCTGATGATGATGTATTTAATTCATAAATGCTATTGCATTCATTACTTAGATCTTCAAAATATTTAATTGGTTCTATGTCACTATCTTCTTGGAATTTTTCATAAATTCTAAAAGTTTTTATATTCTGTCTATCTTTCTTTTTAGAACATTGAGGGACAATATGTCATTCTTCATTACAAATAAAACATATACACTTTTTAATATTTCTTGGTTTAAATTTTTTATTCCAATTTCTCTTCTTGAAATATTTTTTGTGTGGTTTAAAATTTCTTTTCTTAAATTTTTTATAGTTTTTGAATTTTCTTTTATATTTCTTATACGGTTTATATTTCTTCTTATGGCATCCAAATTGTTCAACTTGGTCATTATCTTTATAACAACATAATGAATTCTTTCTTATTTTATATGCTTTTTTATTTTCTAAAGTTTCTCTACACCATATTCCTATCATTCTTTTTGTAAATTCAATTCTACTTCCAAGACTATTTATTTTTACACCTTCCTCTTCTCCTAGAGGTAATAATTTCTCATATTCTTTTAATAACTTAATTCCCCATGGGAATGGTAATTTAGTAAAATAAGACCTTAATATAGGTTTATTTTCTTGATAATCTCCTTGATTTAGTATATAATATATTTTTTCGAATTTACATGTGTATCTTTCTAACTCACACATATCATATATATTTAAATTTTTCATTGCTATCATTTCTTGATTATATTCATCTTGTTTACTTTCTTCATCATTAGAAGTATACATATCTCTTAAGAATTCCGTTCTTAAAATTTTTTCAAATCTTTTTAATATCTCCTGAATATTTTGTTCATTTAAAGTATTCGTATTATCTAATATCTCAGTTCTACCTGCTCCATACTTTATCCTTCCTTTAATAGTTTCTGGTAATTTTCTCCACCATTCAGAAACAATTCCTCTGAATGTACGTTCGATAAATTCAAAGGCTGTATATGTTTCCCATTTATTAAATTGTATTGCTAAATCTGTGCTTTTCATCCATATTTCAATAGCTTTATTTTTATCTACACAGTCTAGACCTAACTATATACCTGTTGTATGGATTTGTTCATTATAAGATTTCATTGGGTTTATTTCTTTTATGAACTGTTTTCTTACATTTCCAGTGTATCTTTTCTGTGTTTTTCTATATTGGTAAATATCATCCTTATCAGGTATTGGGGTACCATAAGGATAATCTTGTTCTTCATCACTACTGAATTCTACTTTTATATTCTGACTTGAAGATGGATTCGTATTCATCTTTATATTTTCTATTTTTTCAGTTAATTCTTTTAACTGTTTTTTATATTCTTCATACTCTTCTCCTGTAGATTCTAAAAATTTTTGTTCTATTTCTTCTACATCTGTAATCATATATTGTTTTTCTTCATTTTTTTCCCTTTATTATGTTCCTTTTGTGTTATCTTAAAATCTTGAGGTGGATTAATTATAATCCTATCTTTTCCTTTAAGATTTTTATCTAAAAGAGCGTTTCCTACTTGTAGATTATGTTCTAGATTTTCTAATCTTTTGTGTATATCTTCAAAACTTTCATTTGTGGTGTTTTTAGGTAAATAGGGATAACAAGGTTTTTTATGTTTTTCAACTTTTTTCAAAATTTCTTCAATTATATTTTCTTCATCTACTATATTCATCATAATTTTTGGTTCGTAACCTGGCTTTGATATCATTTCTTCAGAGTGTGCAGCGGAGGGGTTAAGATTTTTGAGCCAATTAAAATCTTCATATGTATATAAATATCACAATAGAATTTATAAAATTCACTATTTTTTATTAAAACTTTTTCTTCAATAATTATGTTTAGTTCTTTAATTCTTCTTCTTAGATTGAGAATTAATTTATATATACCATTTTCTGTTTTGATTGTTCTATTATCTATAGAAATATTTTTATTTTTGAATTTTGGATCTAAATATTCTGTAAAGAATCCTTTCAGATCTTCTTCTAAATAGTTTAATTCACTTTCTGTTGCGTTTTTTAGATCAATAAAATTTTGTATAATATTTGGGTTTAAATTTATTAAAGATTTTTTATCTATATTTCTTTGAGGACCTAATTGAAGATTTTTATACATTGTAGTGATTTTGGTTGCAATTTTCTCAATAAGGGGTACTTTTGAAAAAATTATTGTTCAAAAGCTATTCTTCAAATGTTTATATTTTTTGGTCTAGTCTTACAAAACTATCTTTTATTTAGGCCATTTACAGGTATTTCGTCCCTTTACTTCATGTCAAAGTATATTCAACTCATAAGAAGAATTAAAACAATAGGGATCACTACAATTTCATCGACAAAATGAAGAATCGGTCCCTTCCTCGGAACGATAATGTCATCAGGCTTTGGAACATTGTAAAAATACAGAATGGGAAAAATAAAAAAATAAAAAAAATACACTGTGAATCGAAGCCTATTAGTCATAGATTCGAAAATGTGTTGGTCAGTTGACCTTTCATTTCGTTTCATTTGTATCACTGGTAAAACTCCACGTAGCCAGCAATCTCCTTGCACAGCAATTTTGCTTCGTTGGCTAATTTTATGCTTCTAGCAATTACGAGTCCTGTCTGTCTGTGAGTTGATGTTGGTTTGTACAACTTGGCTTGTTCCTCCTGTCCCAACAAAAGGGCTTCTCGGGCCGGAACCACATTTTCCCACCAAAACTCACGTAAAATACCTTGCATCAATTCCCAGTAGCTGCGCTCTCTCCAGACCCGAAAAATTGTGCTACCGTTTGGTGTCCAACAATACAAATCAACCCAATCTCTGTCCATTATCTCCATTTGACCCTGCACCTGAGGCATGTAATAAAATGGCATAGTTGACCATGGTAATCCCATCTCAGGCTTCCCTTTGTTAAAAGGGCACTTTACTTCTAAAATCCCGCCCCTCGGAAAGCATCCGAGTAGTCCATCTGGGGAAGCACCAATCCAATCGAATCGCTCCTTAGAATGGATTGCAAATCCTAAGGAACTCACATCACGACCAGTGATGCTTTTGTACTTCTCTATTGCAGCTGCTTCATTGAGAACTCCCCATTCCATGGCACCATTTTTAGAAGCTTCTACTGCATTTGATGCAAATACTTTCTCGTGCCAGAGTTCGTATCGACGATTGCCTTTCCAGAAGCCCAAAGCAGTGCTGAAGGTGCTTGTTGTTAGCTTGTCCTTGCGAAGAGCAAACCATTCGTCAGAGCGTTGGGGGGCATCTGATGGAGTGAGGCGGGCATTCAAGACTAAAGCTGAGGATGGATAATTGAACAGTGTGGAAGGAGAAATAAAAGATGAAGCACATGTTGAAAATGTTCTTAGGAATATAATTCTGAACTTCCTTCCCCGAGGAAGAGGTACTGCTGCTCTGCTAATGTCACTGAATCTAGCAATGCAGGTGTTGGTCATTGCTCAGCCAATGTTATAAATTTCTTGTAGTTAATCAGGATATCCTACAAAAACCAATAGAAGGGTGACGGATAGGCAGCAGAATATTTCATGGCATCAAATCAATAAGGAAATGAGTTATCCATTTGAAAAAATGAAATATGAGACAGTTAAACAACGGTATCTTCTTGGAAAATAAAAATTAACACTATGCATTGAATAGACATGTATAAATGAAGGCCATGTTTAAGGAGAAAAGCTAAATATCGCCTTACACGCGGGCACTTCAGATTGATTATTTCCACAAGGAAAGGAAAAATTGAGTATCTTATAGAAATGGCAGCGTATAGCTGACCAATGAAACAGCTCAAGACAATTCCCAGCATGCTAAAGCAACCTGAGATTCTTAGACTACTAGTTGGAAACATTAATTCACCTTATATTTAGTAAAAAGTAATACGAGGAAAAGTTATTAAAAATACTGAATTGCCATTCTTAATACATCTATTCACGAGCAATATGGAAGTATCACCAAAACAAATTCAACACCTCAATTTCAACATGAAACTTCAGCAAACATTGACGGATAAGTTCAACTTTCATCTTTTCCTCCTAAATTCATCATCAAGATAAAGACCTACAATTCCATACCATCCAATACTGAGTTTACACTCCAAAAACTCAACAAAACCAATCAATGTTTCCTCGAGAAAGAGAAAATATCAAACGAAATAATCTCATATGCAGCAATTAATCCAAAGAACAAACGAGTTCCAAATGCTACATAAGTATAACTTAGTATAAATGAAAGTGCACACAAGCAAAATTTGATATGCGAATACAACCAGAAAATACATATGCAAATATTAAATGAAAAAAAAAAAAAAAGAAACTGGGATCCCAAGAAGAAGATAATAAAAACGGTAACGCAAGAGTAAATTAAAGATTTTGAGCTGGTGAAAATGAATGTGCCCAGATAATTTTAATCACTGGAATACAATTGAGGCCAGATGGGTGGCGTTAAGAACAAGTAAAAATGGAAAAATTACCTTTCAGTAAGTTGATTTAGGGGGTTTTTTGCAGAGGGTTGCAGAGATGGGGAGACGGCACAGACGAGGAGGGACAGGGACTAGATAGGAAAGAGCAATTTGGGGGAGTTTTAAAAAGGAAATTGAAAAGCACTAAAATATTAAAAAAAAAAAAATCTTGGAATTTAATTTTACCCCAAAAAAAGAAAAAAAAAGAAATATGTTAAAAAACAGTTATGATGCCCCGTTTGTTTCTCATTTTGATAAGAATGAAAATGAAAAATATAGTCGTTATGGATCCCATACAAGAGATAGAAATTCAAGTTTGATGGTTTGATTTGATGTGATTGATGATGATCATATTTTTCATTTTAATGAAAAAATAATGGCAAACAAACAGAGGCTAAATTAGCGTAAAATTAATATTTGATTTTGAATTAATTTATAAATAATTTATAAATTTATATTCAAATGAGGCTAGATTCAGCTCTTTATATGCCTCCCGTTTGATAACAATTTTTCAAAAAAAATAAAAAATAAAAATTTAATCATTATTTCAGTCGTCATTTTTTATTTCTTCACTCTTAATTGAGATTTAGTTTTCTCTCTAACGCAAAAAAAAAATCAATTCTTATAATCACTATTAATCATACTCTTATTTTTACCTATTTTTACTGTTTTAGGCTCCAAGCATGCATGGAGTTTGTGTGTTCTCTCTCTCTCTCTCATTTTTTTTTTTTTGTAAGAGTTAATATTGGAATTTATTTCTTTTATCATCATGAGTTCGAGCGCATTTTTTTAAATTTTATTTTTTGGATTTGTTTGGATACCTTTACAATAATTTTACTTCTTCTGAGTTGTATGGTGGGATCTTTGTTGATTACATACAAATAATTTTTAAATAAAAGCATATGAGAGAATACAAGTTTATGTACGTATTTGAAAAGGTATAAAAGTAAAAAAATATAGATCTATTTTTTAATTTTATAAAAGTCGACAAAGAAAATATCGTGAACTCTAAAAATCTATAAATCGATTGAGTCTGTATAGATGTAGACTTCTATGAACCAATCCATTTATTTTGACATCGAAATTTCAAAACTAAAATAGTCCCTATTTGGTGTAAATTATAATTAGATTTTTTTAGTGGATATCGACAAAATTAAAGAAATCTTATAAAATATGTAATTTAAATTAATTGTTAAACTTAACCTGTAGTAAATTTTAATCTAAAAAGTCCATAATTAGTCCAATTCCTCTCCTTTTATTCCCCTAAAAACCCAATTTTCTTCCATCAAAAGCCATTTTTCGCCATAGAACCAACAAAAAACGAGTTAAAATATTTCATTAGTTGTTGAACCCATCCATTTGTCACGCTTTATTAATTGAATTTTTAAATACTTTCAAGTGATTACTGAACTTCATAATGTTTTCGAGTATGCATTTCTATGAGATTCAACCTAAATCAAAAAATAAATAAATAAATATTGATTATATAGTGATACTCTCAATCTAATACGAGAATATTGATATTGATCAATAAAATATAATTTTTTAGTCTTCAAAAAATGCGTTCTAGGTAAAAGAATAATGTTAATTTTAAATTAACATAAATCTTAATTTAGATCATAGTATCCCTTTCCATCAAGAAAATAAAATAAATAATTTTTTCTTGTTACTATAAATATCTAATACCAAAATCAAGAAAAATAAAAAAATTATATCTCAAACATAAATTGATATTTTTGATTTAAAGTCAATAATATTAATCAAGACTTACAAAATATAATTTTTAAATTTGTCACGAGATAATTCAAGAGAAATGTAAGGCGGTCTTCGTGTATGATATTTTATACTTCTAAATTTTCAATTTTTGAACATCTGGATTAAATGATCAGTTGGAAGCATTTTAAATTTGAGTGAGTAAAGTGTGACAAAAGTATAACTTCAGTGATTAATGAAATATGGTTAGTTAGTGATGTAGTGCAATATCTTATTTTTTAAGGTATTTTAAAGCTCAATAACTAATAACATACTGTAAATGATTGACAAAGTACAATATTTTAAAGGTCAATGTTTCAATCAAAAGCATTTTAAGTTCAGTGACTAAAGCATAAAGAGGTATAATTTAATCGATCTTGCAATATTTACATCCTGATTTATACCCCAACTTATCGAATTAGCCCTCGTTTGGTCCTATTAAAATTATAATTCATTTTTCTTTATTTTTTTTATCTATCACACATTTTCCAATAAAATAATATTACATTTAATCTTAAATTTTTTTTTCTTTCTTAGTCACATGTTTTTCAAAAGCATATTATTCTAGTTATTAATATTTCAAATAATGGAGGTCTAACAAAAATTTATAATCGACACAATATAATATTATTTTTCATATCTCACGTGTTAAATCCAACCATTATAACACTTCAACATGGTCAATCTACCAAACAAAGTGCCAACCAAAATATACAAGTAACTTAATCCATAATTTATAGGGAAAATTGTAGCAAAAGCTCCAAATCTTTGAAACATTAGCAGACTTCACCTCTAACTTTTTCAAACGTTGCAGGTGAAGTCCTTTTGAACGATTTTCATCCACAAATCAGTTAGTTGACCAAAAATTTAACTTTGGCTACATTTTTAATATTTTAAAAATGGGTAAAAAAGTAAATTTTCGTTTATCACATTAAATGGTAATTAAATTAAAAAATGAGAAATAAAAAATACAGCCCCTGTCTTCTTCCTCTCACCCCACCCCACCCCACCCCACCCC